TGCAATGAATTTTAGATGCTAGTGTGCATGCACTTTTTCAGACTAAGCATGCATGTCATGCAGACCAGAAAATTAGTTTTTTGGACGAGACACTTTGAACTATTCTTTTCTCAAACACTAATTTGTTTAATCATATATAGGTCCGAACCAAACAAAACCTTTGCCGGGGAAATGCTACTAAAGATCACAGAAACTTGGGAGGAGATTGGTCAGACGTCAGTCACAGAAGCATATGATGCAAAATTTGAGGAAATTGGAGGTGTGAAAAAACCATACTATGATGGTAAATACCTTCATCAATTGGCAAAAAAAATTCTTGGGGAGAAAAGGCTGCATGATACCCTGACGAAAGTCGTCATTCCTGCATTTGACATCAAGAAGCTCTCGCCTGTTGTCTTTTCCTCTTACCAGGTGATTATTCTGTATAATTAATGGAACTTAAGTCATTAATTTAGGGAGCTTTTGATAGGACTAAAAACAAAATTGTCGACAGTTATATATTTTCAGTCTTTAGATCTGTATTAAAAACTGTCTCTTTTATATATATTTTTTTAATCTAATGTGATTTTGACATGATTTAGCGGGCAAAACTGACACTATATACATATTATCTATATATATATATGGTATTTAATTTAAATTTATGAATTAATTATGATGTTATGTATTACACTGTATACATACATATATATAACTGAATATTGGATATAATATCGTGCAGGTGGATAATGATCAGAATAAATTTTTGGATGCTCTTCTCTCAGATATTTGTATTAGCACCTCGGCTGCACCAGTTTACCTTCCTGCTTATGAGTTCAGCAACGAAGGTGTAGAATTCAATATGATTGATGGTGGGGTTGCCGCTAATAATCCGGTAAAATTCCATAAATTTAATTAATAACAATATATAAGAAATAACAAAAATACAGAAGTGATCAAATAATAAAGTGTTATGCTTGAGTTAAATCAGAATAATGGTAGGGTAATCAACACTATATGGTATTAAGTTTATAAAATTTAGTATAAATACACTTTGACTTCTAGTAATTGCATTAAAATTTAGTAATTCTTTGATTTAGCTAATTTATACGTGATATTTATTTTCCGAATTGTTTGATGAAAAAAAAATTTAAAAATTCCAGACTGTGGCTGCTATTACCGAAGCAGTGAAAAGAAGGTCGGAAGACATTGAGAAGGATGAGAAGAAATTGGACGTCAATTCATTTCGTCTTGTTGTACTCTCATTGGGAACATGTCAACACAAGACCGAGAAATACAATGTTAAAATGGCTAATAACTGGTGGGCTGTTAACTGGTTGATTAACCCCTTATGGAAATTCTGGAAAGCGGATCATCCTTTACCTGAAATCCTCTTTGATGCAAACTCCGATATGATTGATTACTATTGCACAATGTTTTTTGAATCCTTCCATAATGCTGAGAATTTCCTTCGTGTTCAGGTAAATCTATTTGTGAATATATATATATATATATATATGTAATATCACATGTCGTGAGTAGTCCGTGTTTTTAACTGTTAGATCTAATAAAAGATTTAAAATTATATCAAAATAATAATAACAAATATGCAGAATAAATAGTTTTTAAAATAGATTTGATGACTGGTGAAAAATGTAAATCTCATCTATTAGTTGTTTATTTTTAAGTCCAACCGTAGACTCTCCTATGACATTCAAAAGCAATGTGTCTATATATATATATATATATATCCAAAAATCCTTGGAAATATGTTCTTTTGCTTATTACTGATTTTCCTTTCTTGGATTTTGTAAGTTGACTATTTGTTAGTTTCTATCTGTTATTTAGTAATTAACCTTATTAATAATTAGGACGACAAATTGCCGGAAGACCTTGCTGCCATGGATAATGGTTCCCCTGCGAACTTGGAAAAATTGGAGAAGTATGCCAAAGACTTGTTGAACAAGCCTGTTACATACTTCAATCCTGTTACCTTCGAACGTTCTGAGGTTGATACCGCTGAAACCTATGCAGAAGCACTCAAAATGTGAGTTTGACTTCCCTATCATTATAATATATATATATACACACACACATATATACCTCTAACCTCTGATTAGTTAGAAGTTACATTTTAAGAAGAGTTAAACGACAAATAACATTGCACTAAATCTTAGATTATAATAAGCTTGGACTATATTATACATTCAACGTATTTCTAGCTAGTTCTCTTTTAACATTTTCTATTATAATAATGACGCTTCACGTCATATATATGATGCGTGTGTCTCGGTTAATCTATAATCTATAATCTATAGCTATATATATTAGATGAGAGCTCCTATTTTGATAAAGTTATCTTATCTTATTCTTATTTTGTCATATTCTCTTTTTTTTTTTCAACTTTTAAAAATTTTTCGTTTCTCTTTTTTTTTTCCCCCCTAACATCATATATCTTTAAATACGTAGTATCAAAATATTTTTATTTTAATTTATCTATGTTGAAATAATTTGTTTCAAATATATCCTCAATTAAATTATTCTTTTTTAATCATTTAAAAAATTATTTTATTTAAGTTACTTTTACAAATACTTCTTTTAACTAATCACCACAATAAAATAATTTTCTCAAATCCATTCATATTTAAATGTGTTTTTTCCTTCTCAGATGGAGACATTTTTTGTTGTTTGTCAAAGAAAGTTTAGGCTATATGTGAGAAATAGTATTTGAGGGTGTTGGAAAAAAAAAAGAAAAAAAGAGTTAACTAAGGCATATTTTTATATAGCTATATTAAAAAAAAATCCTTAAAAGGCCGCATTTTTTAATAGAGCATATTAATGAAAAGAATAGTGAGGCACATTTAAGAAATTTAAAATGTATACTATATATATTATATAAATGAGAATTCCTTTTTTTACTATTAAAAAATATAGTCTCTATATTATGTCTTCATGTGCTTTTTTTATTCTTTTCATATCGCTTAAAATTTTAAAAATATTAAATTGGTGAAAAAGATTCAATAAGTTTGTCATAAATTCATATATCATACTCTTTTTGAAGGAATTTTTATTTTTATTTTTTTGCTTTCTTTCTTTCATCAGGATTTTTTGTTTTGTTTTCTTTCTTCTATGAAATTGGTTTTCTTTTCTCACGAATCAATCTAACTAATATATAATATTTATTTTAAATTTTTATGCATAAAATTACTACGCCATGATGATAAAATAATTTACAATAGTTTAAAAGTTAATTCGTTGCTTTCACTGTTTAGAATAATTAAGTACTTTGAACTTGATACAAAGATCAAAATTGATAAATATTTGTCATCATATCTTAAAAATACATAAATGTTTTTGCTACAGTGTTTTTATCACAATTCAAATTTTTTTCTCAAATTCTAACTTTTTTCTACAGTGTCTTCTGTCACATATAATTCACCATTAAACCTAAGTTCTCAAATTGTGGAAAAAAAAACTATGAGAATAATGTTATCCAACCTCTATAAAGAGCTTCACACGTGTGAAGCACGTAGCATTAACTAGTATATAAATAAAAATACAGTTTACAATTCTATTAGACTTTTGTACGCTTATCCAATTTACATGGTTGCAGGTTTGCAAAGAAGCTTTATGATATAAAGCACGGTTATCCGTTCATTGTCTCTTCTTGAAGGCATGACTAGCTGAGGCCGAACCGCCGAAGCCATAACAAAATAAGTTTATTGTTATAATAAAGCTCGACAAGGTCTGCTGTTTGTCGAGTTCATAATACTTATATATATATATATATTATATACCTGTGTGTATGATAGATATTTCCCTTTCAGTTTGGGTACACCAATAAACTAACAGGGCTACTATTGTACGTTGGATTTTAATGAAAGCCCCAGAGCATGTAATAAAGTACGGTCATGTATGTGTGCATATATATATATACACACACGCGCGATCGTTGAATGTGTGATTGCATATTATTATAAAATTATTGTTGATCTACTTTTTAACGACTTAAATTTTTGTGATGAATTGATAAATTAACATAATATTAAACGGGATATTTCAGCTTGTTCTTCAAAGCTAAGCTTATCTACTAGTACATAGTCAATCATTGATCTATTGGAGCCAATCACTGATTGACTGAACAACTTATACCTATTCCTCAACTACAGTTGTATTGGTTTATTCTTCAAAGCTAAGCTTATCTTGTTCTCTTTGGTCCAGATGTGCATTTGAATTCAGCCAATCAATATTTAGGGAAAAAAAAAAACAATCAATCAGTATTTCTGTTTCACTTTAGACATGCCAAAAAAAAAAAAACCAAAAACTGATTACATATATTCAAAGTATCATATACCTTAAATATTCCTTATTCTCTTCATCTCCACCAGCGTCCATTGAAGGCGAGAAGCAATGTTCTGAGGCGGCGGCTAAATGAAATGGTACGATGTCGTTTTAAGTAAAACCTGCTACTAGGCTTTATTATGGGATCTTTTATTACATCACAGTATCAAAACGGCAACGTTTCTCTCGCTGCGTTTTAGAAATAGATAGTAATAAATGTAACCCTGTATTTTATTGGAACCCTGCTAAACAGCCCTGGAGAGCTTCGGCATGGGGTGGGCCCCATCTGGCCTACACAAGGGCACGGGGTTCATTCCATGCGTATGGGAAGCTGTTTGGCTTGTTTCATTTTATTGACATATGATCATAAGAGTTGGTTAAATTTTTAATGTGAAAAGACTAAAAAAGAGAGAATAAATTTTATTAATTCTCTTTAAACTTTGTCATTGTGTCAACATGCCTCTGAACTTTAAAATGTGTAAATTGTGTCCCTTTAAATATCTCAGGATTCGATACACCGCCTCAAGATGTTCTTCATATAGTGAGTGCATAAGATGACTTACCATACTAACTGTGAATGCAATATCTGGTCGGGTGTGAGATAGGTAGATCAGTTTTCCTACCAACTTCTGGTACTGAGTTATATTCACAGGATTTCCATCGTTGGTATCTCCTAGCTTCTAATTAGGATCCATTGGAGTATCGGCAGATCTACACCCATTCATTCCCGTTTCTTTAAGAAGATCAAGAATGTATTTTCTTTGTAAAACAACAATTCCCTGAACGAGCAACTTCCATTCCAAGAAAGTATCTTAGAGATCCCAAGTCTTAAATTTCAAATTCTGAAGCCATACTTCCTTCAAATGATCCATTTCAGTAACATTATCCACAGTACGAAAAATATCATCCACATACACTAATAAAATTACAATCTTCCCATCATCAGAGTGCTTTATGAACATAGTATGATCACTTTGAGCTTGGACATATCCCTGATTTTCTTTGGGTTGAGTGAATCGTTCAAAATAGGCTCTTGGAGATTGCTTAAGCTCATACAGTGATTTCTTCAGCTTACACACCTTAGATCCAAAGTATTTGTCAAATCCAAGCGATGGGTTCATATAGACTTCCTCCTCCAACTCTCTATTTAGAAAAGCATTCTTCACATCTAACTGTTGAAGAGGCCAGTCAAAACTTACGGCGATTGAAAGAAGTACTCTCACAGTTATTGCTGCGATTGCTTTTCTTTTCTTGCTTTTGCCGTTTAATGCTTCTCTCTGTTTTTTTTTCCCCCTTTTTAACGTTTTTAGCTTTTTTTCATTTCTTGTTAATTTAGAGCTTTTTTAATTGAAATCTTATTTCTTTTATTTCGTTATTTGAATCATTAAATAAAGTTTTCTTCTAATTTGTTCCTTATTCTACCGTAGTTTTCCTTTTTCAATGACATTCTCAACTACTATTTTACTCATAATTATTGAAATTATTTCTCGTTGATTTGTTTTTCTAAACGTGTTTCTGTTAAAGAAGAAATTAGGGCAATCATCTCAACAACTATTTTTTATAATACTCCATTAGTAATTATTCTCACAAAAGTCCCTTTTTGAATTATCTTTCTTTCATTTTTACTCTTTCTTTTTAATTAATATCTTTTTAACTAATAAAATTATTTAATTAAAAAAATTAATTAAAAATAATAGGAAAAAGTCTAAATTCATCCACTAATAAGTTCAATAATTCTTTATAAAAGAAATGCATGCCTTCACACTAGTACTAAATAAGCACCAATTAGTGGGCACTTGTAATTCATGCAATTTAAATAGGACAAATTGGACTTTTTCCTTAAATTTTTTTAAGGGTGGTTCTATTCACACACTCTTTTTTACTTTTTACACCTCCATCTAATTACACACTCCACATAATTTTTAAATAATGATTTTTTTACACATTCCTATTATTCTAAAATTACCCCTAACTACTTTTATAAAATCATTAAGGATAATTTTGGTTCCCTCTTTTCTCTCCAGTTGGGATAGGTGTCCTTAAAGCATGAGATGTAATAAGGATATTTTATTATTTGATTAATAAAATAGTTTATTCATTATTTATGTGCATGTATTATTGAATACTTTATGAATATCATTGAAAATTCCGTGATTATTTATGTAACCTTAAATATTGTATATAAGTGTTATATACGAGAGGATAATATTTAAGGATAATAATCAAAATGATGCTTGTAATGAATTTAATTAAAGGTTCAAAATCTTTTAATTAAAGCATTACTAATACATATCATTCCCATTAAGAATGGAACGGTGTTATCCACATCATTTATATAGAGGGATATTGAATGAGTGTATTATGCATAATGAGATTATGTAGAACTGGGACACATACACAATTTGATTTTCTGATAATTTTCGTTAATTATAGAAAATTAAATTTGAGTCTACCGATGGTCATATATAGAATGATCTTAATTCTGAGTTATTAATAGACTCCTATTTATGGATTCATGTTCTTTGACTTACTTGATATGGATTTTGAGATCCTAAATCATATTCCTTGTATCTTGGGAACATGATGAAATGGGTAGTAGGGAATGCTAATATATAAGATGGAATCCATTCCTTCCTCCTTGAAGAAGTAGATAAATAATTCCTTGAGGGTTGATTCAGTACTTGAATAAGTAATGAACTCGTATTCATGAATGGGTTTTATGAATATACTATTCATTAGAGAATCAATGGTACTCAAGGATAAAGATGTAATTAGAGAGGTTAACGGATTTTACCTAGCTCTAATTATGAATCATTTATGGAGGATCGATCTATATGTAGTGACTATATCAAATGGACACTTCAAGTTCTTAGAAGTAAATTATGTCTATAATTTCAAGAGTGCAATTCTAAGTTTTTAGTGGAGTAACTTTTAGAATTAATAAAATTAGTTAATTAAAGAGTTTAATTAATTATTAATTTTATTACAGCCTAGAATTATAGGTTCATAAGTCTCCCCGTCATCCTTGTATTTTTTTCAAGACAAGATGAACTATCAAGATTTTATTTCACTCGCGAATAATTAATTGAGAATTAATTATATATTAAATGATTTGATTATTTAATTATTGTGTCACATTGTGGTGGGACCACAGGGGATGAGTGACATCGGGAAAAATCTCACCGGAATTCTAGTTGCTTGCTCTCTAAGTAATCCAATTTACTTGTTCGACAAAGTTTTCCAATTACATTCAATAGGGAAAGTAATGCTGCGTTTGGAGTAAGGATTCGTGCCATGGTTCGGATCATGATTCGTGGCTCGATACAGTGTTTTCTCTCACAAAAAAATACACGTAAACCGAGAATGGTTCTGACTCATGGTTCTGAACCCATAAACTAAACGTCCACTAAGATGCTACTTTATTTGAAATTGAATTTAAGTTAAAATTAGAAATTAGATTCGGAAGGAATTTTCTCCTTCCTTCCTAGGAAATGGCCGGCCACACCTATCGTAAAATGGGAAGCAATTTTTGTTTCCAAAAGAAAAAGGGAAACTATGTTTTTAATGAGATTAAAAATATAGTTGTTGCCAATTTCTATTTTTTTTTTTTTGTCTACAAGCCAAGGCTTCTCCTAATTGTCTATAAATGGGAGACAATAGAAATTGGAGAAGGTTGATTGATTTTTCTCCCAATTACCCGAGGTTGGCCGAATTTCCCAAGAGAGATAAGAGAAGAAAAACTCTTCTAATTTTCTAATTTTTTCACATACATGCATTGATAGTAAAAGGATAAAAAATAAGCGAGTGAATGTTCCAATAGTTATACATTGAGCCCACACTCATCGTCTTACCAAATCAATGAGTAGACGAGGAAGGCTTAGGTCATATTCTAAGAAAACTTTTGGAGTAAGGAACGTTCGTTAGCCAAAGAGCACAAGTTATCTTCCTAATCGGTATCTTTTTTGAATGGTTGCAGACAAATACCTACATAAACAAATAAACAAATAAAGAGAGGGACGAGGCTCGGTCCCGCTCCCATCTATGAAACTTTAATTCTAGCTAGGCAGATCTGACCAAAACATGATTTATAGAGATTAACAAATTAAAGTAATATACAACATGCAAGATCTTATGTTGTAATCCGTACCTTTCAGTGGTATAAGACCTTTATCAACAAGATGTCTATACTGTACGTATCCCATGAAGCCGCAGGCACTGGTCGTCCAAAAGTATGCAGATGGCACTCCAATTTCTTCCGCAGCTTTGAGGGAGAATGACATGGAGCCATCGGAAACGATGCAGCTCACCGGCGGAGCAACAAGACCGTTAATAATTGAGCTTCCGTCATTCAGCTCGGCAATAAGCTTCCGAAGGGGTTCTAGGCAGTGCTTTCTGGTGGAATCGCAGAGGGACGGGATGTCCTGCGCCGAGTCGGTGTCCGTCGGAGAGAGACCATCGGGGATTGCGGCGAAGCGGAAGCCGGGCAAGCCCTCGAGGGATTTGAGGCCTCTTGACTTGAGGAGACGTTTTGGTTGTACTCGGTGTTCACAAAGGTTATGTGAAAGCCTCTTTGGTGGAGAAGTTTGGCCAGTTTAAGCATTGGGGTAATGTGGCCTTGTGCTGGGTATGGGAGGCACACTGCGTGAGGCTTGTTTGCACCACTAATATGGAAAATATAAGACATCTTGTTTGGACGATCTTGGATTTGAAGGAGGATATCTTTCTGTCTCACCAATAAAAAATAATAAAACAAACTATCAGAAATTTGAATAACATAAGATAATATTTTCATATAAGATGATGAAATGAAAGATCTTTTTAATGTGTCACGCCGCCCCTAGGTGGCGGCTTTAGTGTAATTTAATTAGAATTAAAATCCCTAAATGATGACCAATTGGTCTTAAAATAAGGACTCCTTGAGAATTTATATACTCAGCCTATTGGTCAATTGTTAATAGGAAAAAAATTCATAAAAAGGATGAATTCATGTATTTCCTCACCATGACTGGAACTCACGTTTGAACAGTGAATCAAATGTGCAGAGAGCAAATAATACAAAGAATTAAGTGGTTTAAATATGAGAGCTATGTTCACTATATAATGAGAAAAATACATGTTTCCGTGATTCTCGAGATTCTATTTGCCATCTTCATTCCTGCCAAGTGCCAACACTCCCATGTCCAACTTTGCAGCATTTCGACTTAGGCCCTGTTCATTTCACCGATTCGAGTTCAGAATTTGAGTTTTGCTACACTAAAAAGCTCTTAAAAAAGTTACATCTAACTTTTTTACTACAATAAAAAGCTCTCATATAAAGTCATATCTCAACTCGAATTAAAAACTCAAATCAGCGAACTAAACGGGCCCTTAGTAATTTCTGTTGGGCGTCAACCTGCACGCTACTGAGCAAAGTATCATGTGGTGGAGCCACTTGAAGATGAGTGGGGGTAGCCGCCCCCACTCAATTTTTTTTTAAAAAAAAATATTATTTTTAAAAATTTTAAAATTTTACACTTAAGTTCTTATTAAAATAAATATATTTCTTTTATATCCTCCTAATAAGATAATTTGTTCAAAAAAATTTAGTATACGCTCTTATTAAAGTGAAAGGCTGGCTCCGCTAGTGATGCATGCCTGAGAGTACTATGAGAGATAGAGTGCATATATAATATAAGAAAGAAACATGCTTGAATTTCTTGAATTTTCCACGAGAAACTTATAGGGTGTTTGATATGAGGATTCATGTCATGATTTGAATTATGATTTGTGACTCGCTGCAGTATTTTTTCTAATAAAAATATACGTAAATTGAAAATAATTTTAAATCACAGTTCTGAATCCGTGAACCTAACGAGAGCTTAATATTAGTTGCCTAACAGATTAATTTTTTATTTTATGGTTCTTTTAGGCATAGTGGATTTTTTATTTTTAAGTTCAATAGGGAAAAAACTAAAAATAATAAATAAGAAAGGTAAATAAAAAATAATAAAAAAGTGTGAACATATGAATGATAAAGTGAAGTCAAGTCCCTAGTACGTTTATGTATATAAGTTTTCATATTTATTTTATTTTTGTATTTATATTTGTTCTAGTTCTATTTTTATTTTATTTAGTTCGGTTGTCTAGATAAAGTTAAGTTACAATAATCGCAATACTTAGCGGAAATTTAACACATAATCTCTATGAAGATGACACTCACTCATCTTTTACTATTAAAACTTAATACCGTACGTTTGCCCGCAAACAATATTCTATTAAGGGCTGGTCACTATTTCACCCATCATATTTAATTCTTCTTATAGCACAATTCAGAACTTGTAGTTAGTGCATTCAGATATTAGTTCAATTTTTAATGCCTATCTACATTATTGACATTATGCTACATTATTATAAGGAATGAGATAGAAAGATAAAACAAAATTAGGAAAAAATATTTTTCTAAATTTTTATGAAAAGTACGTGATATAAAATAGACTATTAAATTTATTTATGACAAAAAAATTGAATAGAAAATTTGAGTCTAAGTTTGATTTTAGTAACAGATGAGTTGAGAAAATTTGATTATTTATTAGCTAGATTAAATTTATTTATGACGAGAAAATTGAATAAAAATAAATAGTGTTATATTTTATAAAATATTGTTAAGTACGCTAATTTAAATGTAATTTTTATTCTTTTGGAGTTATTTTTAGGGAGATTTTCTGATACGCTGGTGTATCAGAAGGTCAAGTTTTTTCAACTATTAAATTTGCGTATTTTTTTATCTTCATGTGATTTTATGCATATTTAACCGTTAGAAAACCTAATCTACTGGTATATTAGTATATCAAAGAAGATCTCTTATTTTAAAAGTAATATTTAGTGTTTTCATAAGCGATAAATTTATTTTAATTTATTCATACATGTATGTGAATCTTTTTAGATGAATTATTAAGATAGTATTATGTAGAAGTTCTTCGCCAAAAAAAATTAAAGGGGAATCTTTTTACTGGGTATTGGTTTATTAACAAATAAGTTATTTTACTAATTTTAAAAACTAAGTTATGTTCACGCATCTTGTGTATAAATAAATTGAATTTACTGAAAATATAGCTTACAAATTTATTATAGTTATTTTAAGTGCACGTAAAAAAGCTTACAATCTCAATTTTAACCCCATCCCCAAAAAAAAAAAAAGATTATTTACAGAAGATTAATTGATTTGCTATAACTAGTGTTTTGAAATTTATATTAAACTTTTGTAGTCTTAACTATATATACTTCCTTTACACTATTGATCCAGTTCTTGAGAGAAAAGGACTTCAAACAAACAATTCCTCCTGTTAAGATTGAAGACGGTGAGATTATCACATATGAAAAGGCCACCGCTGCATTGAGGAGGGCTGTACACTTCTTTTCGGCATTGCAGGCTAGTGATGGGCATTGGCCCGCTGAAAATGCAGGCCCACTGTTCTTCCTCCCTCCTTTGGTCAGTGAGTTATTATTTTTTTATTAGAAAAAAATAAAAAATTTATTCTTAAGAATACACGAGTCTAGACATTAATCTCTTATTTTTTATAAATACCATTTTATTAGTGTAATTATTTCTTTAATTTGAGCCTAGTAGCTTTCCATTTTGACAACATTAATTGATACAAACTTTGTCGTTATTTGTATAGGTCATGTGTCTATACATCACAGGACACCTTAATACCATATTTCCCGCAGAGCATCGTAAGGAAATTCTTCGCTACATATACAATCATCAGGTATTGCATGTATTTGTTGTTTCTTTAAGTATGGCGTAAAAATATTCATTTTGAAATTTAATTAGCAATATGCTCACTAGTCCATATAACTTTCACTGTTTAGACCGAAGATGGTGGGTGGGGACTGCGTATAGAGGGCCACAGCACCATGTTTTGCACAGTTCTGAGCTACATTTGTATGCGAATACTCGGAGAAGGACCCGATGGCGGTCGAGACAATTCGTGTGCGAAAGCAAGAAAATGGATTCTTGATCATGGCGGTGTAACACACATACCCTCTTGGGGAAAGACATGGCTTTCAGTATGTTTAAAATTAAATCTCATAAAAATATAAATAAGTAATATTATATATATGTGTGTGTGTGTGTGTGAAGCAAGCAAGCTTTTGAAAGTTCATGGATATATAATATATTACAAATATAAAAAATGTTAATGTCCACTAATTTGTATCATTCTTTGTAGATACTTGGTGTCTTTGATTGGGCTGGAAGCAACCCCATGCCTCCTGAATTTTGGATTCTTCCTTCCTTTCTTCCTATGCATCCAGGTATACATATTATCTTATTTCATCAGTTTGAATAAATTGATCTCAATAATATTTAGGATATGCATTCTTATTTTCATACTTCTTATGATCATTTTCAGATGCTTTTCATCTTTTATTTGAATGAATAAATATTACAAATTCGGAAGAATTATATTCTATATCTTAACTTGGTAAAGATGCAAGGAATGAAAATGAAATGTATCATATATATATATATATATATGTAATAATCTATAATATATATGTGTCTAAAATTCGTCGACCATTCTCCTTTTGTTTAGAGAAGAGAAAGTTTTCACATGTCACTATTGTTTGCTTAATTTTGTAAGTCCTGACCAATTCCTAATTCCCCCAAAATGCAGCTAAAATGTGGTGCTACTGTAGAATGGTATACATGCCAATGTCATACTTGTACGGGAAAAGATTTGTTGGTCCAATTACACCTCTCATTCTACAACTGAGGGAGGAACTTTATACTCAACCTTACAATGAAGTAAATTGGAAGAAAGTACGACATCTTTGTGCAAAAGTGAGTAGAGATTGCAATAGCCAAACTAATGATCTATATTGCGCATATATACCTTTGTAAGTTTGCACATGCATATATATATATATATATATATATATATAATGACAACCATTATATGATCTTATTATAGGAGGATCTATTTTATTTTCACCCTTGGGTACAAGATCTACTTTGGGATGGTCTATATATTTTCTTCGAGCCGCTTCTTTCTCGTTGGCCATTAAACAAATTGATTAGAGAAAGAGCTCTTCAAGTGACAATGGATCATATCCATTACGAGGATGAAAATAGTAGATACATTACTATTGCATGTGTGGAAAAGGTAACAGAGCAATGTCTGTTTTACGTTGTACAAGACTACAAACTATACATCTTTTTGGTGCTCATAATTAATGTTGCTTATGTGAACTAGGTATTGTGTATGCTTGCTTGTTGGGTTGAAGATCCAAATGGGGACTATTTTAAAAAGCACCTTGCAAGGATTCCTGATTACTTGTGGGTTGCTGAAGATGGAATGAAGATGCAGGTAATTCTATTCACTACTCTAATATTTCATTTAGAGCATAGCTATAAAGCATCGGTGGTCTGAGTACCATCCACTAATAAAAAGTGATTTTCAGTGGAACCCACATGTAGAGTCCACTATTTATTAGTGATCGTGCTTAGCACTGGTGGTGCCTCTAAATATCTTTCTTTCATTTATAAGGTTTATTGTCAATAATATATCCATCATTACTCTCTCTTTCTAGCTTTCAATGTGCTTGTTAATTACATATGTCTCAGGTTTGCATGCACTTTTCTTGATAAATTCACTAAGGAATATACCAAAGTTTGAATAGTATTCATAATCTTAGGCCCCA